TATGTGTATTTTACAATAAAAGAAATCATTAAAATTGACCATCTCAACAGACCAAAGAAGAGAAATCATATGGTCATATAATTAGATACAGAAACAGCATCTGAGAAAATCTAATAGTATTCATTAAAAAAAAAGTGTAAATACACTAAGAGTGGAAGGGAACTTCATCAACCTGCTAACCTAAAGGGTTATATTAGTTTCTGGCTAGTAAGGAAAAACAATCCTCAGCAGGAAGCTAGAGGTGTCCCCAAAGGCCTCAGAATTGAGGAAGGAGCAAATGATGAATGCATCCTCATCAAGAGAGTTGCAGGTGAATCACCCACAGCACCATTAAGTGACTGGAAGCAGATTCCCTCAACCACAAAAGATGCATAAGATACAGTTAACTTCAGACATGTAGTCACACACAGGGAGCTCCAATGCTAGATCACCAAGAGAGAATTGGCAATTATGGATTTTCCTTCTCCAATTCCATACCAGCAGGCCTAAAGAGTTCCGAAATTAACCAACATCACTGCAATAAATTCAAGAAAAAAATTTTTAATGTATTACCTGAATTGGATGTTCACTAAATGAGGCTGGGAGCCATCTGATTGCCAATAAGTTTCTAGATTGTCATCTCGTAATTGATCCACTCCAAATCCTAAAAACACCACAAGTGACAATAAATTCTCATGCTAAAGAAAGAGCTGTATATTTAAAATATAAAATAACCATATATATATATATATATATATATATATATATATATCTATATATACACACACACACACATATAAATATACACTGAGTGGCCAGATTATTATGACCCCCCCATCAGTACTTATTGGGCCACCTTTTGCCTTCAATACTGCGGCAATTCTTCTTGGCATTGACTCCACGGAAGGTTGAAAGGTGATGCGAGGAATCTGACACCAGGCCTGATGAATAGCACTGTCCAGTTCTGTGAGATTTGATGGTTGTGGAACCAGCTGCCTGATGGCTCTTTTAACTTCGTCCCACAGATGCTCAAGTGGATTGAGATCTGGTGATTGTGGGAGCCACCTAAGCAAGGTAAAGTCTCCCTCATGTTCTTGAAACCACTCCTGCACAATACGAGCACCATGGCATGGCGCACTGTCTTGTTGGAAGAAGCCATCTCCATTGGGATACGCCACCAACATGATAGGATGAACCTGATCAGCAATGATACTTAGGTATGTTATGCTATTCAGACGTTGTTCCACACGAATTAAAGGGCCCAAATCATGCCAGGAAAACATGCCCCAAACCATAACACTGCCCCCACCAGCTTGAAGGGTTGTACTCATGCATGTGGGGTGCATGCTTTCATGCTGTTTCCGCCAAATTCTCACTCTGCCATCTGCATGATGCAACTGGAAACGTGATTCATTGGACCACATGACTTGTTTTCAATGCTCGACTGTCCAATCCTTGTGTTTCTATGCGAATTGGAGATGTTTTATCTTGGTAACTGCAGACAGCAAAGCTGTTGGAACAGGCCTTCGGCTGTTTTGCTGATACTCGCTCCATGGCTCTGAGCGCCAACAATCATCCCACGTTTAAAGGCTGTTAAGTCGCATTGTTTACCCATATCTTCAGAAAAAAATAACTTCTACTGTCGTGGTAAACAACCTGCTTCTCTATTTATAATGGTCTGGCTCTCTAGCAACTTCAGCGCGAAATTACAGCTAATTTGCCTACAAACGTCAGGTGGTCATAATAATCTGGGCCACTCAGTGTATATATATGTGTGTCTGTATACACATATATAACTATACATATATGTGTACATATATATATCTGTCCACAAAGTTTGATAAACAGGATGGTTTAAATCAAGCATGTCAAACTCGCGCCCCACAACGAATATTTTTGCAGTATGTAAGAAACATTTTAATAAAAATTTCCTCACTTAATTTTTACAATATCCTGTTATACATAATTATTAACAACGAACTACAACGTTCTCTAATGACTGATTACTATAATCGTGTTGCATTCATTTCCCTTATGTGCCTTACACGCAGGCGCACTATTTCTCTCCACTAATACTAGCAGCGAATATTTTAGCAGCCAATTGCCATGTCATTAGTCTTGGACTGACTTGTTTGGTGTGAGCAACCGGAAATATTTCACTTTTGGAGAACAAGAAAAATAGGTTTATTTGCATTACACTTATTAATTGGTGTAGTTATTCAGTGTCTGATAAGTTAATGTTCAAGAAAATATTAACTTTTATTAAAATGTTCTATTATTTTATGTTAATGGTTACTCATTTATTTCAGCCCTTTGTATTCAGCATGTCTCTATCAAAATAAACCTACGTTTCTATGAAAATTGAAGCTTTGGTTTTTTTGCGGCCCACATAAACAAACCTTGTTTATTTGGCCCGTGTTAGCCTTTGAGTTAGACATGCTTGGATTAAATGCTTCCAAAAAACAAGTTATATGAAAAAGAGAGAGCGAGACAGGTATATACCATCTTATTTGCATCGACAAAAAAGAAAATGGTAAAATAGTATCCACACATTTTTGAGAGAAAAAGACTGACACTCAAGATTTCTATCTCAACCAAGAGTAAAATAAAGTTACTTTGGGATATGTAATCACTCAAAAAATGTATCACCCACTTATCCCAAATAACTTAATCATAGCAGAGATAGGGGAGGATAAAGAAGAGACTTTAAGACATATGCAGTTAAGTTCAAGTGGATAGTAGTAAAGCAATTGTGAAGCGATATATAACAGATGAAAACTCAAATTATTTTAGAATTAAAATAAAGTATATAAACAAAAATAATATTAAAGTCAGTCCAGAATACAAGAAAACTGTACTAGTAAGTAGTTATTACAAACAGCTTTTTTGTTTTGTTTTACCTGGTTTGCAAGATGAGAGTGACCAAACAGCTTGTGACCCAATTTCCCGTACTGTTCCAGTCCTTTCCAGCTGCTTAGGGTCAGCACCAGGAGGTGTCTTGTTTGGTGTGGTCATTTTTAAAATATTCTACGTAGAAAAAAAGAACATCCACATTATACCAGGACCTGAATTTTTTTTCAAAAGGTAAAAATAAACATTTAATAGCAAAATGGATCACTGATAGACCCTTGATAATAACCATCTTATTCTCAAATGCAGTTAACATAAATCAACCACTGTAATTTTAAAAATCTTGGGAATTCAGCTTGTAAAATATTTTATGTGTCAAGCAGGAGAGTACAGTAGGCAAAGGGGCACAGAATTACCGTTTTAGCTTCAGCCCCTTCTTTAACTAGCCTAGACATTGCGCAGGTCTGGACTTTATTTCCTCTCCTGTCAAAGAGGTTGACTTGATCTATAATTCCACAGCTTTATACAGTGCTATTCCTCTATGAGTAACATTTCTTAATTCAAATGCCATTTTTTCCTTAGAAAACTCAGATAGAAATACTCTTATTCCCAAAATATGTGACTATGGGTCTCCATTTTAAATAATCCATTAAGTGATGAAGAGAAAAATCACATTTCCCCACTAGTTGTCAAAAGCTCCATTTACCAGGGGTCCTCAAACTACGGCCCTCGGGCCACATGCGGCCCACCGAAAACATTTATCCGGCCCGCCGGGTGTTTTTGCCGCCGCTGTGTGCATAGGAATTTGTCCATAGTTTTTTTTTAAACTATAGTCCAGCCCTCCAACGGTTTGAGGGACAGTGAACTGGCCCCTGTTTAAAAAGTTTGAGGACCCCTGATTTATACGGTATGTGCTCTTACCATAGAAGATAAAGTCAGACAAACGGCTTCAAGGTCTGTGTAACTGGCCGATTCTAAATCAAAAGTTTACTTAATCTTTCACATCTGTTGCTAATCTTGTTACATCTATGCAAACATGGGAAAAACAAAACTTCTTGCAGAGTGAACAGTATATAAAACTGCCTCAGAAATTTGAAGTTACAGCTACTGAACATCGTTACACATGCTATTATAAACCTGGATCAATAGTTCCATATACTATCTCCTTGATACCTCCTATTTGATCTCAGTTGTTCCCTAATCCCCACACCAGCACTTAGATACTCACTAAATAGCACTGGACTGTAAAATTCGTAAAGGCCTAAAACTTAAATGCTCAATTAGCAATTTACTGAATGAAATAAAATGGGAGATATATATATATTATATATATATATATATATATATATATAGCCACACACCACACCCCACATATTTTTCAAATTATACAAACTACTTTGCCATGCGCAAAGTTAAGGTAAAGGTCTTAAAGGTGAGACCAATTAAACCTCTGACCATTATTACAAGCTGAATAACGTTGAAAAAAAAAAGAATATCCACATTATACCAGGACCCGAGTATTTTTTTTTCCCACAAGCTGAATTACAAGCTGTGTTCAAAACTGTCAAATTTGTAAAAAGAAAAGAAAGGCCCATTTCTCTACTAGAGAGGAATTCAACCGGCGGACTTGGTACTGGACGCCACCAAGTGGATAAAACACGGAGTTCAGATTAGACTGGGTTCCTGGCCATGCAGTCCAGAAGGAGCCGAGTCCCAAGGAGGAACGTCAGCGTCTGCACCAGGCTCTTCGGGTCCTGCTGGACGCCTGTGCTGGATGGAAGGGCTAACACGGGCCATGGCTAACGCTCCATTCCTGACCCACCGGCCTGGAAATTGGGCGCGGAAAACAAAACAAAACAAAAAGACTGAGGTTGGGGAAGAGAACGCATGTGCTTGCGGGAGAACCCTTCTCCACGTCGGGAAAAGCTCAGGCACTTACAGCTTGCAGACCGAGTACGCTGCAGCTCGGGTTTCTAGGATGCCCTGCAGCAGAGCCGCACCACTCCCACTGAGCTCCTCCGGGCAGCCCGGCTTCCCCGTGACGTCGAATTGGCGTCGCATCGCAACGACGTCACGCCTCTCCGTCGCGCCCGGCGCTCTCCGTCGCGTGCGCGCCCTACGTCCCCAAGGCGTGCGCGAGGCGCGGCTGGGCACCGCCATTTTGGCCGGAGGCCGTAGGAACACGTTGTGGACCTGAGAAGTGACAGCAAACGCCGATTTGGCCTCTGCGCTCCCCTCCGCCAGGAGGTCGCTCTCTCCAGGTAGGTAAGTAGCCCGGGGGCGTTCGGCCATCGGCCGCCCTCCGCCGCGAGGTGAAGACTCTAGAACCTCTGATTAGGCCTCAGGTGGCGGCGACGGGGACCGCAGCGGCGCGTGGCAGCCGGCGAGGGCGCGGCGCGGCGCGTCGGGCTCCGGTTCCAGCTGCTCTGGGTCTCGGCCGCTGTTGCCCGCCAGAGGCTGCGAGAATAGACCCAGATGCCATCTCAACGATCCAGCCCCCGCCGCTGCCATCCCCCTGTACCCCGCTTCTGCCCGGAGCTTGAGCCCCCTAGAGAGGCAGGCGCCTTCAGAATGTACAGCACCCCCTCTTCCCCGGGCACAGGAAAATGGGTGTATTTTCACTCGTGCGTGTCTGGTCTGGGGGAGTCGTGGCCTTTTCTTCCCCCGGTTGGTGACCGTGGCATGAGTCGTGGCATCTCCTTCCATAGTCATTGCTGCCGTGAGGTTGAGTAGCCCTCGTCCACTCCCAGCCTTGGCAGGAACGATGGCCGGACGTCGCTCTGCTTTTCTCGTCGAACAGCGTGTACCCGGCTTTTCACCGGGGTGATCCCCAGCTAAATCTCCCAGTGAAACGCCCTTTTAGCTTATTTTTTGTTCTTTTTTTTTGGAGGCGAAGTTTTATAGCATTCGCTTTCCCCTTAGTGACTATTCCCTCGGCCCCTGAATCAGACCCCTTGAGATCAGGGGTGGTGTCTTCACTCAGAATGCCTTGATTTTTGTTTTGTTTTGTTTTGTTTTGTTTTGTTTTGTTTTGTTTCCCTTCAGGGGTTCGCCCATTGCAGTCAGTACGGTCAGAGCCCTTCCACGTCCCATACACGACATTGGCCTATGTTTGCGGTGTATGGCTAAGGAGAGGACTGTCAGGACAGTGTTTTATTTTCCATTTATCCTCTCGCACAGGACTGCTCACTAGGCATGAACGGCAGCGGCGGTGAGGTTGCAGCCCTCAGTCCATGGGTCCCCTAGCCTGGGAATTGTCATCCTGTCCCAGCTCCCGGACAATAATGCGTTGGCAGTGTTAACCACGGGCTCTGAACCTCTATTTGAACCAAAAGGGTTTCTTTTATTTTTAGTTAAAAACCTTGTTCTCCCTATTTAAGAAAAAAATAATTCATTTAGGAAGATCATTTCATTGTTGTGGGGGAAAAGAAAGCAATATTTATTTAGTGTCTCTTCTAAATGCCTTCAATTTTATGACCCTGAAATCAGTTGTGTACCACTCCCAACTTAGATGTTTTATAAGACTAATAATCTACAGTAATCATAGGTTAGACTATTTCGTGCGATGTGAAGCATCGCTTAACAGTGATCTTCAGATGCTTTCACACGGTATTATAGTAATTTTGGTCGTAGACTGCAGATGCTTTTCATGTATGCCGCACTTCCCTTGTGCCTCCCAGCCGGGAGAAGGACAGTGACAGTCATTGTTTGAGTACCTATTTTGAACAGTTTTTCGGATCTGAAATATCTTCAAACCTCTTAATTTATCACTTTATTATATACTAGAGCACCAGTGCAAGAGATTCGTGTACTGGAGGGAGGGGGGGGGCGTTCCCTCAGCCCAGCCTGCATCCTCTCAGTGTGGGACCCCTGGCTCCTCAGCCCCCCTGCAGTGGCTTCTGGCTCAGCAGCCCTTCCCCTGTGGGAGCGCACTGACCAAAGGGGGGTGGGAGGGGAACAGCTCCTGTGTTGAGTGGCTGCCCCCTCATGGGCAGTGTGCGTCATAGCGACCTGTCATTCTGCTGTTCAGTTGATTTGCATATTAGCCTTTTATTATATAGAACTAAAGGCCCGGTGCACAAAAATTTGTGCACTTGTGGGGGGGGGGGTCCCCCAGCCCGGCCTGTGCCCTCTCCCAGTCTGGGACCCCTCAGGAGATAACGACCTGCTGGCTTAGGCCTGCTCCCGGATGGCAGAGGGCAGGCCCAATCCCTAGGTGCAGGCCCTGGTCAGGCTCAGAGCAAGGCTGATTGGGGAGTTGGGGCACCACCCCGTCATGCACAGAGCAGGGCGGATCGGGAGGTTGCAATGCCACCCTCAGTCACACTCAGGGTAGGGCTGATTGAGGGGTTGGGGCACCGCCCCCTGTCACACTCAAGGCAGGGTCGATGGGGAGGTTGTGGCGCCACCCCCTGTCACGCACAGAGCAGGGCCGATCAGGGTGTTGGGGCGCTGCCCCCTGTCACTCACAGAGCAGGGCCAATCAGGGGGTTGGGGCGCTGCCCCCTGTCACTCACAGAGCAGGGCCGATTAGGGGGTTGGGGCGCTGCACCCTGTCACACTCAGGGCAGGACCAATGGGGAGGTTATGGCTCTACCCTGTCACACATAGAGCAAGGCCCGTGGAGGGGGGTTGGGGTGCCACCCTCTATCACCAACAGAGCAGGGCCGATCAGGGGGTTGGGGCACCGCCACTATCACACTCAGGGCAGGGCCGATGGAGAGGTTATGGCTCTACCCTGTCACACACAGGGCAGGGCCCACGGCGGGGG